TTGGGTGATATGGAACCCGCAGAACAAATATGAAAGCCCTCTCCCGCAGGTAGAAAGGCTGCTGGTAGAGGTTAAGGTGTTGTAGGTAGCTTTCCCATCCACCACGGAACCGCATGGGCTTTGCGGAAACAAAATAGGAAACTCCATCATCTAACCACGCTGCTTTTGTGAGGTCATTTTCCTTGAGTGCACCTCCAGGTAAACAGAGGAACACGTTAGCCAAGTCGCGAAGACAAAAAGAAACATTTACCCCGTCTGCTTGGATAAATGGTTCTGTAAGGGACTCCAGGTGTCGAACCTGCTCTCCATATGAGCCAAGGGAGGCTGCGCCTTGCTTCTCTGCTGTTTTCGTGTCACCGTTGTGCGCAGCTTCTGCTGTGGCACCAGGAAAAGAAGTGGTGTTGCCAGTCACAACATTGGGTTTCCCGGAGGCGTTGATAGCAGGACATGCCTTTTCGGAAATAACCCCATTCGGCTCTTTTCGAAGCCGCTTCATATCATTTCCCATACAATAATTCTCATGTAGGTTCTCGTCAACTGCTTGTAAGTTCGCCTCGCGGCGCAGTTGCTGTTGCCGCAAGCGCACACGTTCTCGCAGGGTGAGACCGCGAACGGAGGAAGGGGTTACGGTACCGCGTACACCTGCAGGTTTGGCGGAGAAACAAGACGGTGATGCACGGCTGCTTGGGGCTAACGGCGGTTTACTGGCAAGGAGCCCTCGTTTATTGACGCCAGCGCTAGTGGTGGTTGTGTTTCGCCAAGGCATCGCACTTGATGCCACACGAGAGGTGACCGGGTGTGGCACAGCACGGCGTCCGGAAATATCGTGTGCCGATCGGGACGGTGCCGGAGACGATGCCCACTGACCTGACCACGCAATGTCCATAGCTTGCACGCCCCGCGGACGAACACGACTCCCATTCATTGGAGAGCCGTACTCATCAATGATGGGTAGGCGGGAGACGCCGTTATCGTACAGGAAACCCGTCCTCGCGAAGGGGCTGTTAAACGAAGAATTGGTTCCCGCACCCACACGCTTCCCGGAATCGGCAAATGCACCAGCACTATTGGAGGGATGGTTGACGCTTGTCGTATCGTAGCGTCCACCACCAATACCAGTGTTGAGACGACCAACCGTTGGATGATGGGAAAAACGATGAAACGCATCAGGGGTGAAATTTCCTCCAAACCCACCCCTCGCAGGCGCGTTGTTGTCCTCGTACATCAAAAGTCCACTACGTGAGATACTTGAGATGGGCGACGCAAGAGGGTCGGACGTGCCATTCGGCGGTGGACCACCAAACGACGACGGACGCCAAAAACTCCCGCCGCGATGCTCAGCAATTCCCGTGCGATGGACATCATTGTTGAAATCATGACTCTGCCAGCGATCATTCTGAGACGGGTAAAAGTGTGATTCCCCTGCCATCTGCTGAAACGGTGCGTCCACGGTCGGGTGGGGACTGGGTCGGTTGCAGAGCTTTCCAAACGGGTCCAGCACAGTCGTCGCACGTGAACGCGGCATCCCAGTGAATCCGGGCACCGGAGAGTCCTCGCGCGCCGCCCCTCTTCTTTGAGCATTCGGCCGCCAATCCCCGCCGTTCGTCAAAACTTGACCGGCGCCGCTCTCCCCAAACGTGGGTCCTGGCGAAGACGCACGCCATCGACCCGCCGGCGTTCCACCACAAATATCCTCAGGAGGCGCCATGCCTGTTGCGCGGCAAAAAGGCCTCGGACTGATGTTTTTCATGTAGGGTCGTGCAGTGCTGCTAAAAAAAGTAGAAAATTTATCTTCGTTTGCAACTGCAGGTTCTGGTTCTCCCGGGACAAATCCACCACGTTCAAAAATAGTGGGTCGCTGCGCTTTCGGAGATCGATAAGACGCAGAGCGACGCCAGTCAAAATCACCGCCAAAACATTCCACCCCTGTTTTCCATCCATACATCCTATCACGCTCATTAAGTTCACCTCGCCGTGCCGTAACACTTGCTGGCTGCTCGTCACTCCCAAATGTCATGGCAACGCCGCCCCGCCGTGCCGTGACGTTTGCTGGCTGCTCGTCATTCCCAAATGTCATGGCAACGCCGCCCCGCCGTGCCGTGACACTTGCTGGCTGCTCGTCATTCCCAAATGTCATGGCAACGCCGCCCCGCCGTGCCGTGACACTTGCTGGCTGCTCGTCATTCCCAAATGTCATGGCAACGCCGCCCCGCCGTGCCGTGACACTTGCTGGCTGCTCGTCATTCCCAAATGTCATGGCAACGCCGCCCCGCCGTGCCGTGACACTTGCTGGCTGCTCGTCATTCCCAAATGTCATGGCAACGCCGCCCCGCCGTGCCGTGACGTTTGCTGGCTGCTCGTCACTCCCAAATGTCATGGCAACGCCGCCCCGCCGTGCCGTGACGTTTGCTGGCTGCTCGTCACTCCCAAATGTCATGGCAACGCCGCCCCGCCGTGCCGTGACGTTTGCTGGCTGCTCGTCACTCCCAAATGTCATGGCAACGCCGCCCCGCCGTGCCGTGACGTTTGCTGGCTGCTCGTCATTCCCAAATGTCATGGCAACGCCGCCCCGCCGTGCCGTGACGTTTGCTGGCTGCTCGTCACTCCCAAATGTCATGGCAACGCCGCCGCGCCGTGCCGTGACGTTTGCTGGCTGCTCGTCATTCCCAAATGTCATGGCAACGCCGCCCCGCCGTGCTGTGACACTTGCTGGCTGCTCGTCGTTCCCAAATGTCATGGCAACGCCGCCCGGCCGTGCTGTGACGTTTGCTGGCTGCTCATTATTCGCAAGTTGCGTTTCCTTCTTGAACACTGATGGCAAAGCAACCTCATTGAGCCACTGCTTATTTTGCTGCTTAGTAGGCAGTAAATTAGGGTCTCGGGGTGCCAATGCGCTTTTTTTTTCTTGGGCTGCAGCGAGGGAACGTCTAGCTTCCTCTAAAGTAGGAAGGACCCCACTTGTCATTTGTTGGATGGAGAAATTGCGTGTCGTGGTGTCCGTTTTATTTGGGAAAAAACCAATCTGCATGGCGGTGCGGTATCCAACATCACTGATACATTCTGTGCTCCCAAAAACAACGGGCATCCACTGCACGTCATCCTGCATCGCAGGAAGAGGCTGCACTGGAATTGAGTACCACGTGTGGTCAAGAAGCCCGTGACACATAATGCCATCTGAGTTATCGCCTTTTAAAAAACTGGTGAGAGGGCGCTTCTCCCTGTCAAGCACTGCGACCGAGACAACTGGTCGAATAACACCGTGACGAAGTTGATGTTGAGCAGCAGAGGAGTTGGATAAAAGGCAAAAAATATTGGCAAAATCACCCTTTGAAAGCGCATGTTTATTCCTATTACTGACACCATTAGAGGCACTCGTTTCCTTGGATTCTTCGTGTTCTTTCCCACCGAAGAGTCCCTTCTCCAAAAGACTGTCCTTCCTGTGTTTGGGGTTGCCAGAGACGTTGTTGCAAGAGAGTGACGTGGTGAGAGTCAAAAATCCATCGGTCTTTGAGGTAAGCTGTTGCAGAGAAGTGCGTGCCCCACTGAGTCCTTTACCATTCTGTGGGCGAATGGGCTGTGGTGACAAACTCCTACCAGTACAAGTGGAAGATTTTTTCCCGGAAACAATTGGGTCGGGCGATGCAGCACGTGATACCTGATTGGAAAAAACAAGTCCTTCTAAGCCACCGCTACCGCCACCGGCTGTTGTTTTCCCACCTCCCTCATTTGGCGTTCCTGCGTTGGGGTGACTCGAAATGGAGATGGTGGGTGACGACCATGGCGCAGCTGTGAGATCGGACACAAGCGTGATGCTCACTGTGCGTGCGTCATAGGCTGCGCGGCTGGATTTGGCGTAGTAGAGCGGATTGTTCTCGTCAGTGACGAGATGATAGCAGTCACAAGGGGCAAAAGAATACACCAGACGACGAACACCGAGTGCAGAAGAAAAACTACTGGTCGAGGCATGAGACTCACGCAATTCAAACGTGGTGGCAGCGTGACTCTTCGTTTCCTTTTCTTCATTGGCGGTTTTATCTCTTACGCCAGCCGGCATCGCGTAGTAACGCAGAATCTTATTACACCTCGAGAAGAAACTTTCCATGGTCGTGTCCTCCTCCGTGCTATACCTTTCGGGCACTTCAAAGGCAAGCATTCTCCGCATCGTGTCATTCATGTAATTATCGGTCGAATTAGCTGACGGTTTTGATTGATGTACAGTGGGATAGACGCCAGCGCAGAAACGCGCCTCCTCCCGTTTATTCGTGTAGTACTGTTGCTCCTCTGGTGAAAAACGACTAAGTGGTACCTTAAATGCGGTAAACTGCAGCGATCGTGACGCGGAACCACGACACGTGGTTTGCGTCGCGGCCATGTTGTAAATCATAGTACCATCCAGAACACGAAATCCCATCATGCCTTCACCCACCTTCACACCGTCTTCTCCAAGTGACGTGGTCGCTTCGTTCCATGCGAAAGCCTCTGATGAAGCGATATCTGATGGCGAGATTCCGCCAAGCTCGGCACGTATGTAGCTCGTCCTCTTGTAATCACGTCTTCTTTGATGATACAGCTGCTGCTGTGCTCTCGTAAGTTCAGGCAGAAGAATGAAGTAGGTATCATTGTAGTGGTATTTGGTCAAATGATCCTCCTCCTTTTTCCCACCCACACCTCCTTCTTCTTGTGGCTTTTCCTCGTCTTCTCTGCGTGTGGCAACACCGGTGGGAAAAGCATTTGATGATAACAAGGCATTGAGGTGCGATGGGAATGTCCGGAAGCGTAGCTCTGGTGGTAGAAAACTCTGAGGGCCCTGTAGTTCTGCGAGTTCCTCGCAGCTCAGTCTCGTGTCTGAAAGGGGTGGGGATGAGAGGTGGGTGATGGAGAGGATGTAGACATGTTCCAGGGTGTCGGGGCATTCATATGGGAATCGCTGATGAAGAGCTGTCAGCAGTGCACGGTGCAGTACCTCCGCCTTTTCCTCAGTCGAGAGGGAACCAGTCGATACATCTTTCGTCTTGCCTGACGCGGGCGGGGCAGGTGTGGGCCCTTCTTCTACGGACGTCTCCAAACTGCACGACTTCTTTGCTGAGCCCGGCAGGCAAATATCGCGTGGCAATGCAAGGTGGTGCAGCTGCATCCTGAAGTAGTCCACCTCGGGCTCCAGGAAAATCATCGCCTTTTCCACCACCCCCTCTGCAAAAACGCGAGTCCAAAACCAAAAATCGGAAAAGCACCCAACAGGCCAAAAAAAGATAATATAAAAGAGGGAATTAAACGCAAACTCTCTTGTGTGTCTCTCGGGGTCTTTTTGTGGTTCACCCCCTCCTCCGCCGTGTGATAATCGTCTAACAATTAGAGAGGAAGAGAGGAAGAGTCAAATAAAATAAATAAAATAAAAGTTGTGTGTTTTTTCTATAAAAAAAAAATAAATAAATAAAAATAAAAGAAAACGGGTCTAAATTTTCTAAAGAGTGAAAGTACGTGTTGTGCTGCACCGGAGATGTGGCGAATGGAATATGCCTCACTGCGTTCCCTACTAAAGAGATGAGTAAAGAAAAGAAGGCACCATACATTTTCCTCCAGTCGGTTCTTATTCTCTCATAAACTAACGCTCAATGCCCCAGACAGCGTCTACACATCTAATCTTTATCACCCATCATTTTTGACAGCAGACAGAAAAAAAAAAAAAAAAAAAAAGGACAAGATGGATTTACGAAGACCGCCTTTAACCCGATGTTCACGTGGGGCGGAAATTGCTGTGGTTTGAGGTAGACCTCCCACACTTACTATTTACGACATTCTATCTGGGGGTTCATTGAGTAAGGAGATGGTACGATGAATATTTCACGCATACAAAAAAAGCTGCAGTGCAGGCCATTCCCACTCGTGGAGTTTCAAGAAAAAACAATTAACGCGAGAAGCAGGAAAAAACAGAAAAAAAAAAGAAAAGACAAAAAACAAACAAGCACTTCAATTAAACCTTCTCCTCGGCTCATTCAAAGAGTGCAGCCGCAACACACAATTGGGGATGACAGCCTGGCTCAATGCACTCAACAGGCTCGCACACCCCAAAAGGGGATTCACTCCACACTCATGCACACACACAAGAAGTGGCAGTCTTTCGGGCTCCGCAGCCGCCGGACCCCTCACCGTGTGGAGGGCAGTCGTGGCGGAGTGGTCGGCATCTTTGGAGACAACAATCAAGTAAAAAAGAAAAAAAAAAAAAAAACACGGTTATATAAACAGGACACGGTATACTCCACCTGACTCCATCCGATAGCACATTCCTTTCCACGAGCTTCTAAGATGGAAAAAAGAAACGCAGTCGTGAGCGGAAAAAAATATTATTTTTGAGGAAAAAAAATTAATGTCGCAAAGAAATATTTTGAGATCTCACCACAATTACACACACACACACACCGGCAAAGCGAGCGAAAGCCGATACATCTTATTTCTACCCCCCAAACACACACACAATCTCTTCCTTTTCTCCTTTCACATCTGTGTATGATGCATAATTGATAAGGGACGAGTCCCGCGCACGAAGTTTGGTCCTTCCACAGCGGCGCCAATGTTTTAGGCGGAGAACCACACAGCGCTGGGATCAACGAGCCCTCCCGTTCACACCTGTGCCATAATTCTTGTTACACATTGTGCGCGTGGCCCTGCCTTTAGGTACAAGCATGGTCACAACAGAACACATCTCAATAACAGCCGGAAGTCGCTCCCGTATTTCGCCGTCTGTCTCACAGCTTGCCATCAATAATTCAGTGCGTGAAGCTGAATTGTTCGCGGCGGAATGGTGATATGAGCGCGTGTCCACGTCTATGATGGTGCGTGTTGCGTTCCATATCGTCGTAAACGGCCAGTGCGTGTGGTTACCTGAATACAATGAGGGGATGTGCGAGACAAATTTGCCAAACCCCGCAAACCAACTTGTTACGCTCAGCTGACCGTCTGTGGGATTGGCATGCGGTGCCACCTGCAAACCCCCGCCAAACCACCGCCCGTTGGCAAAGGCCAAAACTGATGATTTCAAGCAAATCCATCGGCCAGGCACGTCTGTGTCATTTATGGCGGCAATAATTTCCTCTGGCGTCTTAGCGTCCCTACAACATTGATCGGAATAAAATGGATTGATGACAGCTTCCCCAGTATTGGCAGGAGCAGCATGATCGGGGGCGACAAGCAACATCTTAGCGTCATAGGCGTAGTAGTTTGCTCCAAAACGAAGTGGCTCCATTGCTGGAAGTGCCTCCACCCCTACAGACGTTTTCACCCATTGAAGATCACGCTGCACCCCTTGAATCGCCGCGTCATTCATTAGGATGTGCGGGTGTAGCATTTCATTGGCGATGCGGCGCGGGTTGAGTCTGTTGGAAGGCAGTGAAGCAACTTCGGGAAGGGGAACAAAACGAAAAGGCTTGGGTCTTATCTGAAACACAGAGACTATGGACGCCACGGCAAACATGATCCTGCCTCCTGCCAGGGAAAGAATTTTGCTTCTTTTATAATTTTCACACTTCTCTATGACGTCACAAGAGAGTCCACATGAGCATTCATTTATGAAAAAATAACTTCTTCCGCTGCGAGGAAACGAGACACGTCCCACATCCACATCATAAACGTCAAATCCAAGTGAAGTCAAAGCATTATTTTCGTTTATTCTGCTATATCGCCCACGGGTACTATTAGACCCATGATTATTACAGTTACTGGTGGTGGTGCTGCGATATGCACCATTTACTACGTTCTCCGACAATGCCGGTGATGAACACGGTGTAGGCTGTCCCCAGAGGCCGCGCAAGAGATTCACGAACTCTTGCTCATCGCGGCAGCATAAATTCAATCTAGCAAAGTCCGTGCCCGTACCAGCCAAAATATAAATTAGAGGTGGAAGAAAGTGCCGCAGTATGGATCTGTCTTCAAGGGATTGCCAGTAATACCGCACTGAGTCCAGCTCGCCTGTGAAGGTCGTATCAGTTTTCACACAAGTTGGTATAATTTCTCGAAACGCCCCCAGGGTGCCACGACAGAGACCATTCACAACGTCATTTAGGGAGCCATCCCCTCCAACGGCTACAAAGACATGAAGTAAATCCAATTGTTTTTTTTCATTATTTATGACCGCTAACGTCGATGCATCTGCTGCTGTTTTTTTTTCAAGACAACGGCGTAGACGAGAGGCTACCGCTGTCTTCGTGAGATGTTCGGCAATCTCCTGTCCACGTGTGTTATGCTCCGTGACAATAATATCCACCTGCACCCCGCCGCCACGATTATAACGCATCGATTCTTCGTCTGTGTTGGACCCCGCCTGTTCCGGTTGTCCATCGGAGAACTCCGGTGGCCGTGCTGCACTTAATGGGCTTCCCTGTAGAGTGTCACCGTTCCGCATAACCGAATCTTCAGCGTCACTGCCTGACATAAATTTACTAGCGGCATGGACGCGAGTAACGCAGTCGCGAAATTCCCTCCACAGCGCTTTCTGAATGCTATGCAGCAGCACTTTACCCCGCCCATGGCCACTCGTCGGGTTGATGATCACCCAAACCTGCAGCCGAGGCATCGTATTGTTTTCATGCATCGTGTCATTCCCGAAAAGCATTATTATTCCTAATTTCGGTGAAAGCACCTCCAAATTCTTTTCCTTCGCCTTTCTTATCCCCAAACCCCTAGTCCTGTGGCGCAAAGAAAGAAAGTTTTAAAACAGAAAAAGCCAAACAAATAAACAAACAAAAGTTAACTTGATTGAAAGAATACAACAACAATAATAGACACATGGTAACAGTTTACATGTTTTTTTTTTTTTTTTTATCACCATGAAATGCAATTAAACCCATATGCATACAAAATTACTTCTTATCATGTACACATACATCACTCTCTCTCTCTATATATAATATATTATATATTATATATAGATGTATAGATGTATAGATGTATCTGTGTACAATGATAACAATGTACGCATGTGTGCATAAAAAGTGAATAGATAAATGAATGCTAAGAGTGTCAGCTGGCCCAAATTTTATGATCTTATCTTCACACACCCCGCCAAGAAGAAGTAGCCACTAACCCCCGCCATTCCCTTGAGAAACGGCGTGGATTGTGTGCACACTGTCCAACAAGTCATGGGGAAAAAAAATTGAAGAATGAAGACAAATACGCACACACACACACACACACACACACACACACGGAGAAGAGAACAAAAAACCCGAAAAACCAGTTTATAATAGTCATTCAAAACAAAAATCATTGGAGCAGCGTACCTCTTTCCCACTCGCTTCGGTTCCTCTTCCTCTTTCTCCTTCCTCCTCTCTATCCTAATTCCCCAATACGACCATGTACACAAGGAGAAAGAAAGAGCATTCCCATGAGGCATTAAAAAAACAAAAACAAAAACAAAAACAAAAACAAAATAAAACGGAAAAAAAGACTGGAAAATACACGGAGAAAAAAACAACGGAGAACATAAGAAATAAAAAGCAAAGTCACAACAAGCGCACCGGGAATAACAATGACGATACTCCTCCTTTTCATGCAAAAAAGGATAAACCTCAGAGGTGCCCCAAAAGCTAGTACCACAGCGCAGGCATTTTCCCTCTCCATGGAAAGTGAGAAAACCAAATATGAATTCCCGTGTCTCATTCCCACCAATGCTGTGGTGCACGCAAAGAAGCATCCATTCCTCCCTTGTCTTTCAATAATCTTCTTGTCTTCGCTCACGGGGTGTTCCCGGGATCAGCCACGGACTGCTTGCATCCCACATCTCACGTTTTTTCTTTTTATATGTTTCTTTTTCTCTTCTTTTTTTTTCCTTCATTTTTTTTTTTTTTAATTTTTTTTATTATTTTCGCTTTCAGCAGCATTCTATATCGTATTGTCGTTATCCGCCGCATGCGGTTTCTTGTCATCGGCGTTGTTCGTGCCGTGACCATCCAGTTTTGTAGACAGCAGCTCCGACACCGTTCGCACAACTCGTCCTTGTCCTGCCTCAACCGTGTCGCACAGCCTGTCACACAACGCGGAGATCTGCCGCTGTGCCGCCTTCTGCTGACTCTCCAACAGGCCTCTCGTCCGCTCGTCCGAGTTTTGGCTGAAAGAGCTCAAAGCCCTTTCCATCGCAGTCTGAATACGCTGTGGAAGTTCCTGAAGGATGATTTGCGTTACTTGATCATTCCCGTTACCGCCTGAATTTTCTTTCAAAAGTTGTTGCAAGTCGTGTTGTTGATCCTCATGCATGGTCTTCAACTTCTTTGAGAGTGTTTGGTCAAGGTGGCGTTGAAGGTTCCTCTGCACGTCCTCCAGCTCCTCCCGCAGATCGAGAGAAATCTGCTGCTTGGAAGGCAATGTGCAGAGTGACTCCGCCAGACGTGCCTCCAGCGCCCGGGTGGACTCCAGGATGGCTGACGTGTCACCGGATGGGACGCCACCCGCCCCTCTTTGAAACCGCTCTATTTTATCATTGACGCTCTTCATGTCCCTTTGAAGGGCTTCCATCGCACTTCGAGTGTTGCGGAGTTGCTGCTGGACATTTCCAAACTCCTTCGTGGCATCTACAAGGACTTCTCTCTCGCCCTGAAGACCTTCCATAAGTTCTATTACACGCTCACGCGACCAGTACTCCACAAGTTTGTTCAGGGTACTCACGAGATGATCAGTGGACTTTTCATGCCGCAGCGCCACCTCCTCCAGTGCGTTGGATACAACCGAACGCAACACGTTTTCAGAAAGTGACTCCGATGGACGCTGCACTGCGTCTTGACCACGATGGCGTACACTCGAGGGGGTTAATAATTCATTCCATTTTCCACTTTCTTTTTTATACTGTTGGTGCCCTTTAGTAGCATCAGCACCATCATCTATGCTCGCGCTCCGAAGCGCGAAAAGAACATTCTTCTCAGTAAAACAATTGGGTACAGTCAACACCGTGACATCTGCCTTCGACGAAAAAGACTCCTGAAGGGCTTTTTGGTATTCCTCGCAAATAAGCTGCGCGTCCTCCGCGATAAGAAATGGCGCGCCAAGAAGCAGCAAAATTGGCACACGATTTTTTGTAATAACGTCCACGACATTCGCTTCTTTACCTTTTTTCTTACGACACTCCCCTTCCAAAATATGGGTAATTGTGATAAGTGGCGTACGGCACGCCCCCGCACCGGTCAGTCGATAATACAAAGTGTAAACTTCCCCACCACCATATATTGGGAGGTTCATCATATCGGCAACGCGTACTCTGTCAACATATCCAGCGAAAAGGGCCCTCTCCACTTGCTTTGGAGGTTGAAACGGTGCTGCAACCGACGAGCAAAACATTTTTTGCAGTGACTCACGCATGTCATCTCGGGTGGGCGGAACGGAGGTGGATCGTGGCTTGACCACCCCAGGGGGTGGAGTGTAGGATAGCTTCAATGGTCCGTCTTTATTTGTTTTTTTGCCTACATTCGCATTTTTTTTGCCCTTGTTTGAAGAAGTAGATGTCTTTGTTTCAGTCTTTGTCGTGGTGGAGACTGTGTTTGTCGCCGCCGTTGAGATTTTCTTGGTGTTTGAGCTCTTCAATGCGTCTTCTGCCTCGGGTGGCTGCCGTTCAGTTTCGCCCTCATGATTCTCCGCCGTGACATCTTCTTGTGGATCCTTCTTCAAAGGAGCGTCGGCGTCACCGCCGCCGGTTGCATCCGCCGGCTCCCCTTCCCTCTTTGCCTCCAGTTTGTTTCCCTCGGCAAGCTTCAAAAAAGACTTGGCGGCGGCCGACTGCGCGGCGTCCAGGACGATAGCAGTGGCATCTTTAAGTCGGTCCCGTTGCTGGAGGGCACTTGTGAGAACGAACTCATTTGTGTCAGCATCGTCTTTATCCAATGAGGTCTGAACAAGCAAAAGAAGAGGGTGCGGGTGCTCGGGGTTGTTTTGCAGCTTGGAAACCTCCTCGTTATGTGTGATAACAAATCGCAGAATGGAGGAGGCGCTGCTGTTGGCTTCGCCCGCGGTGCCGTCGATCGTCAGCACGTTTGCGGTTGAGGGAAGAGGCTTCTCCAGAAGCTGCGCGAGGTCTTTCGTCTTGAATGCCGGATACATGCTGGCGAGAAGGGCGTTGCCGCCATCAGCGTGAGCCTCGCGCCTGTTCGTCTCACGTGTGCTGTAAACGGCTGTTCTCATGGCGGTCTGCGAAGCCCGATGGCGCGTTGCCGTAGGCTTTGAGCTGAGCCAGAAGAAACAACGGAACATGGGACCTGTGCAATTATATGGACAGACGCAGCTGCACCCTGTCGATTTTGAATATGAACGAATATTAATGGGAAATGTAAGCTACGGCCCTTTTCCCTCTTTAGCTCCTTTTCGTGCTCCAACTCCTCTTCCTTTTCTTTCCACCTTATACCGACACACACACACACACACACACAAATAAACTGAGAGAGACAGCCGTGTGGGTTCCCTCCGCGTAGCCCATCAAAGAAAAAAAAAAAAAAAGAGCAATTAAGCAGGATTCACAAAAAAGAAATAAAAGGAAAAAAAGTTCATGAGCGACTCACTTACACAACCAACCACACTAAAAAAACAAAAAGACAAACAGATGCGAATCGGCAAAAAATAAGATGGAATTGAAATGGCGAGTGTGCGGAGAATGTCCGGGCAGCTGCTGGCAGACTCCACCCCCGCCCCCTCCGTTTCCTTCTCGCATCCCTCCTAAATCTCCCGTGCGATGTTAACCTCCTCGTAGGGACCGGAGTCCACAAACGGCACAAAATCGTCACGGTGCTGCGTTGGGTACTCAACATCCCAAAGGGTCAGTCCGTAAACCGGGGCAGGAGGAAATCGTTCCCGCTTGAACCGACGCCGCGACGGTTCAAACCCGCTTTGCAGTGCTTGTTGCAGCTCCAGCTCATTCCAAAGACCGTGGCCCGCTGCCTTCAACAGACTCACCATGTTTCGGATCTGGTGCCGCAGGAAAGACTTGCCAACAAACCAAATCAGCACCTCGTCGTCTTGTCGCACCACCTCCAGGCGATCAATCGTACGGATTGTCGGCAGGTTGGTGGAGGCACGATAGTACTCCCTGGAGTGGGCGCCCGGCTGTACAATACGCTGACCGTATTCGTGAAAGTTGGAAGTGCAGCCGCACGTTCCAAGTACTCGATCCCCTTTTCTATAATCACCTTTGCGCCTTCCCATGCGTATCCCGCGGTGACTCCCCGTGGGCAGTCGGTTGGTGATGTTCGTCTAAAGCGGCTCCTGTCGACAGGCCACATGGACTGAGCGCCGCTCGCCGAAGTGCATTGGCCATCTTGGGATCGGCAAAGTAGCCAAAATCTTTCGTTCCTTCCAAGGCTTTGGCGAAACGTTGCATGCGAGGAACATCCAAGTGACGGTCTACATGCCACTGCAGCCCGGCATCAAAAAGCGGTGGTGCAACGCGATTAAGAATGCGATACACATAAACGCGTCTCAGACCACTATGACGTGCATGAAAATCCTGGTTTTTGCACCGTTGACAACTAAGGACAGCAATAGGTTGTTGCCTTTTCTCCAACCACATCGTGGCTCGCTGGATAATGGTACGCGGTTGCAATTCGATATGACTGGGCACATCGAAGTGACAACACAAACGCCGAACGGATACCCCAACTTCCGGTATAACACCTGCAACTACCTTGACAGTGTGAACATCCAGCGCCACTGCCAGGGCTTCCTCCAGCACTGTTCGAGCATGGTACCGACTACTCATCGTCTTCTTAGCGGAGGAGTCTTCCTGATCCGTGGTATCCGGCGTTAGAGGTACACGACGTACAGTTCCATCTGGTAACGTTTCCCGTCGATATAATTGACGCGATGTACTTTTCCACCATCCATCAAAGTCGCTTCCTTGATACTGCACGTCCACGCGATAAC